TTTTTTTTTCACTTGTTGAGTCAATGACTGTTTTTGTCCTAACACTTTCTTGCTCATAGAAAGTTTAATTCTTGATTTTTTAGCGCAGCTCAGTAATTTTTGCTGATTAGTTCAACCTTTGGTTATTCTATGAGACTTTATTGTTTTTTGCGTGGAATATTTACAGATATTATAGATATTTAGCTGTTTAATTTTCTTTGGAGGAATGCGCTGTCAACTAGGTTTTATTTTAAAGGAGTCACTCTAGTATAGTCTACACACAGACTAATATTCGCTTTCTGAAATTTTTGAAAAAGATAAACACGAATATTGTCTTGCAGCTCTTGTGCAGCGAAAAAAAAACCGCTTCTAGTCTTTTTGCACCGAGACATGACAAAAATATTCGTTCAAAAAAGTATATATTCTTTGACTTCCAGTTTCATTGCACTCTAGGTATTTTGTAATTCTATAGTTTTTTCAATTATTTTTACTAAGATCGCAGCGATCTTTTATTTCCACCTTTCTTTCCTCCTTGAAAAAAATGGTCAAAGGAAGACACGGGTAATGAAAAAGGAATATAGAAATGCAAACGTCTTCTGACGAGCGGTCAGTGCAGTATTGTTGTTCTTCACTAATTATATTCAAAACAGTTTATTTTGAGCACTTTGCGGACGGGAAAGTTTTTGTACATCTAGATAACCAAATCCATCTGGTGGGACTCAAGTATCAAAGTGACTCTTCTAACCGGCTTATGTAATATTTACTTTTTTTGGACAACAGATGTCTTAACTAAAGTTATACAGTACAAAATTTGAAACGAATAACGCTTTAAAAAATCTGAAAAATAATCTCTAATTAAATTTATGACCGCAATGTACAAAATTATCAAATAGTTTACTAAATCTCTGCTCGGCAAGGAGGATTTTTTGATGAAATTCACACTTCAAATTTTTTGCTTCTTTTTGCTGCCGTGAATCTGGAATTGCGGCTTCACTAGTTATTATAGGTCTCAGATTCTGAATTACCGGTAATTGATGACAGCTAATTTACTAAGCTTTGCTACGTAGTAAGCCGTGTAAATACGTGCTACTATTCAAAAACTGATTCTATTATGACTGCTTGTAATACTGCGTTTTGCTCGCTCTCTTTAGCGGATTTCTGTAGCCGAATAATGTCGGTTTCTGAACAATTGAAAGTTTTGCTTTATTTCTTCTGTATTATTTCTAAGTCGAGAGATCTGATTCTAAATGACTCTTTTTTCACAGTTATGCTATGTCTTTTTCTGACGTATTAATAGTATTTGTTGCCAGGAAGAGATTGATATTGATTTGGAAGAAAATCAAGGAACGATTCATGCAGTTAAGACGAAGGCTCATTTGCATATCCCAATGGCTAGTGGAAACGTCATCAAGATTCCATTGGCGGCTATTCAGGAACCCTCTCATAATATCAATATATCCAATGAAGTGAACCAGAGTGGGTTATGGAAGCATATTGCTTCAGAATCTCATATGTCGTGTTCTAAAGAAGGAGATGATAAGTA